ATAGCAACTCACAGTGACCCTATAGGACAGAACTGCCCCATAGGGTTTCCAAGGCTGTAATCTTTATGGAAGCAGACTGCCACATCTTTCTCCCATGGAGTGACTGGCGGACTCGAACTGCCAACCTTTTGGTTAGCAGCCGGGCACTTAACCACTACACCACCAGGGCTCCTTAGATTTCTGCTCAGGACTACACAATAGGAGCTTATGAAGTATCTGTATTGCTGATCCAAGAAGAAGATGAAATGCAATTCTTTGGTTAGATTTTATAAGTTCCCTCTTGAATTTTTTCTATACCTCTCCTCCTCCCCCTTGTGGAGAAACACTTTTGTTCTATGTCACAAAAGATTATTTATTTTTGCAGTTTTAATTCTCTCCCCATGAGCCTTACAATAATATAAAATAAAATAATATGAAAATCAACTCACAGTAACTATAGTTCCCTTTGCTAGGTGAATAACTATAACTTAATTTTTTAAATATAATCACTAATTTATGTGGAGTTCACCAACTCTCAGAGTTAAAAAAAGACCCTCAAGTTCTTCTTCTTACCCAGTATTAGACTATACAAGTTCAAAAGAGCAAGCCAAACTAAGTCTAAAATGCATGATTGCGGGAAGAAAAATGAGCAGACCAAAGTTATATTCTCAATACTATATGATATTAGGATCACTCAGTCAACAAATATTTGACCAGAAGGAGCCCTGGTGGCACAGTGGTTAAGCGCTTGGCTGCTAACGAAAAGGTCGGCAGTTCAAACCCACCAGTCGCTCCTCAGGAGAAAGACGTGGCAGTCTGGGACAGTTCTACTCTGTCCTACAGGGTTGCTATGAGACGGAATCTACTTGAGGGCAGTGGGTTTGGTTTGGTTTTATTATGTACCAGACACTATTTTAGGTGCTTGGAGTATATCACTAAAGAACAAAGATCCTAGCTTTCATTTTGGAGAGGGTAAGAGTAGGCAGAATTTGAAAAAGGCAGACAATAAACAATCGACATAATGAAGAAAATTATATAGTGCAAATTATATAGTAGGAAGATGATAAGCACTATAGAGAAAGAAAAAAATTGTAGATCAGGGTCAGGAATTGAGGTTATGTGTGTGGGAGGGAGTTACAATTTTAAATGGAGTGGTCAGGATAGGCCTCAATTGGAAGTGCAAAGGCTTGAAATGTGGAGGGAAATAGCCACTGGGAATTGCACAATATCTTAACAAGCAACTTTGCCTTGTGCTGACTTGGTTTCCCCAATTTTAGAAATGAAATACTGGTTCTCTTCAAATAAGGATGTGATTTACACTGAGAGAGTGACTATGACTTCAAGGAACATTTTAGTCTCCTGAATAATGGAGGGAGGGCCAAGGAGAATGGTACTGCATCAGGAAAAGGATCTCCCTAAAGAAAATCGTTTCCAGGCACTATTTGCCTGTGTGGAAACAGAGTGAACAGTTTCCAAATTCCACTGGGACTTAAGAGCAATGAACATAAAATCTTACAAATTGTGTGCGCACACATTTATTCATGGTGTTACTGCATCATCTATTGTTCTGAATTCTTTCTGAATTTCCTTCTATACATTTGTCCAAGCTGATGCCATCTGTTTTAGATCATGGGACCCCATGAAGAACTAGTTGACTTAACTTTTTTTAAAATGTCCGCATGGAATACATCACTAAAGAACATAGGTTGATGTGTAACAAATACCACTTGATTAAAATTAGGAGTATTAGGAGTATCTGGTTTTTCTTATAATGTAAATCTTTTTTTTTTTTTAACCCAAAGAATTCAAAACATTTAACAAAACGTTCCATACATCTTCAAAGCACCTTTGGGAAGGAGAGGAGAGGTACTGTGAGATCAGCAAGATGCACAAAGCAAGGGTTTCAGAATTAAACTGCCTGGGTTCCAGGACTCAGCTTATCATGTATCAGCTGTGCAGCTTTGGGTAAATTGCTTAACGTCTCCAAACCTGTTACTTCAGCTGGGGAATCTCGAAAAATAATACCTCTCTCCAAGGTTTTTGTGAAAATGAGCTAATGGATGCAGAAGTACTTGGCACAATGCCTGACCCATAAAAGGCATTAAATAAATGTTAGTTTTCTCTTCTCCCAGATCTCCTCCACTCCCCACCTCCCAACAGACACACACACACACACACACACACACACACACACACACACCCCCACCTCTTTGTCTGTGCGTAAACGTTTTGATTTAAATTACAGGCGGAACGTCAGAGGCAGCCGAGATCTCCTCACTCTGTCCCACTAACCCTGGCAGCCTCTCGACTTCGGAATCCCTGGTTATTTCCTCTCTCAAGGAGGAGACACTATTCTGGTTTGACAGATACTTTCCTGGACACACTCTCAGAATTCCCTAAGGTTCTTAACGTGGCTAATGGATAACAATGCAGAGACGTTGGGAGTGAATAATCACTTTCTCCTAGCTAAAAACTTCCTTCCTTTATTGACTTCTCTAACTTCCGGTCAGGATCTTGCTGCCAAATCAACCACTTGTCCTAGGCAACTATTAAAAGTAATTTTCTTAAAACTAAAAAACTCATTTAGCCTCCAACAATAAATCACACTAACCTCAATTATTAGCCACTTAGACTATTAGACAATCAGGATATTAGGCTATTAGAATATTTGCAAAATGAAATTGTTTACATTTCTATTTCCTCCTTTAACCCTTAAAATGCAAACAAAGGAGTGAAGAAAGATATCTCTTAATTATTCTTTCCACAAGATAATGTGGATGATAGTAACATTAAGTTAAACATTTATTTAGTATCTAGAATGACAGCACGATCTATGCTTTACTGAAAGAGAAGCTGAAAATACAATTAAATTGTTTGTTCTTGTGCCTTGTCATTAACTAATATTAAGCTTTCATTTCTATTATGGGACACTATCTTGTATAGCTGTATTCCAAGCACCTAGCAGAGTGCCTAGAACATAGAAAGCAGTCAATAAATTTTTACTGAATGGAATGAATAAATTACCATTTGATTTTAAACCAAGGACCTACCTGTGATCTTTAATTCTCCAAAGATAAAGCATACAATCCCACTATATGTGAACTACATCCAAGACACAAGAAACTAAGATTCGCTCTGAAAAACTGCAGCTAGAACAACTTATTTTTGAGGCAATTCTGCTTACTTAGCACATTATTCTCCCCTACAGTTTTCCTTCTTTTGTTTTTGTACTAAGGATATTTGTATAAAAACAGGATCTTTGTTGCTTAGTAATTCATCTGCTCCAGCTGCTTATGTTCTGTTCCCAATCAAAATTCTCGGCTTCCAGCCTCCTCATCATTTTTATATGGAGTTAAGTGAATTGGCCAGGGTTGCTCCTTTCTCCAGCTCTACTGGAACACGGGGACCCAAGCTTCCATACATTGTTCCTCTGTTTCCTTCTATCTTGGGTTGTATGTGTGCTGTAGGGGACTTACATCAGTCAAGAGTGTCGCAAATACTTGCATCATGGATAGTCATTCATAATCTATCAGAGTTCATCAAAAAATGCTGATTGACTAATAGAACCCGCCTCTCCCTCTTTCAAACTTCTCCAGTTTCAAGTTGGGGTAGGGTTACCCCAAAGTCAGTGAGGGAACAGTGGGAGAAGGTTCTGAAGGCCAATAGTCCAGAGACAATCATGAAAAGGTAGGTGGGTGCATTTAGGTGGATAGGAAAATAATCTATTACTCCATCAGGGGCAAAAGCATACAGGAAAGCTGATCACCTAGGCATTATCATCAATTCAGTTTAAAATACTTTATAAATCACACGTACAAACTTTTTCTATGTCTAACTCTCATTGTGTTATTTCCCATTCCAGAAGTTTGTCTGTCCCTTTCCCAGAGTTGTCTCTCCTATTTCTCACTGTTTCTCCAAAAAGGACAATAAACAATTTCCTAGCCACTCATCATCATAAATCCTGACATGTTAAATTACCCCCTGCTCAGTTTATGAACCACAGTGAGTCCATAAAACTCCACCCTCAACAGCAACCCACCCCACACAAAATTCTCACTTCCCCTTTTCCCTCCTGGGAAGGATACATCCTAATGGAGCAATTTGGTCACACCCACCACCCTCCTCCTGTGTGGTTGTATGCCCCCCCACACACACACAACAGGCACTCAGGGGGCTCCTTACCTGGAAGGCAGCTGCACTCAAAAGTGAAGTCTCCAGTTTGCCGGCAGGTGCCTCCGTTGACACAGGGGGAGGGGGCACAGGGCACATAGGGGCTGTCACAGTGCTGTCCTGTGAAGCCCTGGGGACACTGGCACTGATAGGAACCTGGCAGGTTGAGGCAGGTGCCACTGTGCTGGCAGCGACCAGGAATGTCACACTCATTGATGTCAGTCTCACACTTCTGCCCGGTGAAGCCTGCGAGGCATTCACAGGAGAATTGGTTGGCCACAGTGGTACAGGAACTTCCATTAGCACAGGGATGAGACAGGCAGGCATCAGTCCACTGGCACAGCTTACCTAAGGAAGGAGAACAGAACTCAGCACTGCTCATAGAAATAGAAGCCAGGCCCATCCTCACACCCCACATTTCCTACCCAAGAGGTGACATCAGGGAGCTCTTACATGCAGTATCCCTGAGCTCTTAAATGTAACAGGAAATCCAAACCAGAGCTTCCTCGAGATCAGCTGACACAGGGCACTCTCCAGCAAGTCTCCAAGGCCCTCAGCTAAGACACAAAGACTCAATGGAGCACATGGAGGGGACTGTAGGATTAGTCATACAAAGCCCAGTTCCGCAGGGTTCCGTCATTCCATGCAGCAAATAAGGGTCTGCATCGATCTACTCCCTCCCTTCTTGACTTCGCTTGAGCTGTTCCTCCTGTTTTGAATACCATCTTCCTTTTGTTCACCTAGTAAACTCTCACTTATCTTGACAACTCTATTCAAAAGTCACCACCTCTGTAAAGTCATCCTTCATGTCCCCTCGCTTCCCCAAATCACTCACTTACACACACACACTCACACATGCACACACACACACGTACACATGTACATATACGCACAGGCATTCACCCACGCATACGCACATGCGCACACAGGTACAGGCACACACATACACGCGCACCCCAAGTTGCTGTTCCCTTCTATTACACCACCTGCCACACTGGCTATGGCTGGATCCCTGTAGTAGCTCTGAAATCATATAGGTTCAATAAATCAAATGTACTGGTATTTTCAACAATATGCAATTACTAATTAGACAACTTCAATGATAGAAACAAGTCAATACTACATCTATTTCCTTTAAACCCAACTTGTACACACACACACATATATATTCATACTCTTGCTATAAATATCGTTTGATATGTTTGAAGAGGATGAAGAATCTCTGGCTCCTTGTATATTAAAAGAAATAGAGGCTGTCATGAGAATAAAGCTCTATAAAGGTAACCCTTGTGCACTGTCTCAGATATGAGTGTACTGTAGAAGTAGGAAGACTGGCGTGTTGGATCCTAAGTAATAACTCCAAGGGAAGTAAAGTACACTCTCTGAGGTGGAAAAAATACTCCCTTGGTGCTAGTAAATTTGATATTCGTGTGGCTTTTTGTTTCCATTAGCCTAAGCATTTTTTTTTTAAACTAAAGAGGTAAGAACCCTCTGAATTTGTTTATTCTCCAGTTAGTTGTCTAAGAAAACATTCAAATCTTTGACCCCATATAAAAGCAAATGAGAGCTATGATAGATTTCTAAAAAGGGAAAGAAGGGAAACATGAGCACACAGAAGTGCTCTCTACCTATCCAGGAATGCTGAATCAAAGGAGAAAAGCAAAATTAAAAATCTGGACACAGCACATATATCTCAAAGTACTAAGCAAAGAGAAAATGAAGGAACTGTACATTTTCATTCTACTTCTTCCCTCATTCCACTGACAGTTATTTACCTACAGAGGAGAAGACATAGAAATGCTTACTCTGGCAACCTTGTGTAGGAGGAAACAGAAAGGTCCCTGAACTGGGTTTCCTGTATATGTCACATATAGGCATTAACTTGCTCGTCAGTTTCTTCATCTATGAGTAGGGATAAGCTAAGAAGGTCTTGATAGGCGAGGTATAGGGATATCATAAAAACCAAAAGGATAAATGTAGTGATTCCTAAAGTGATAGACAAGAGTGGCAGATGTGTCAAGATGATCAGAACCCTGCTGAACACCATGAAGAGATCTTTGTAATGGCAAAGAAAGGAGTTTTGATTTGGTGAGCATTTCAGAGTGACATTTTAATTATGAAGAAGGCATTACTGCCATTTCCACCAGTCAGGATTTAAATGTTTTAAATAGGTATGCCCTCTCCGCTGTTATCTTACCTTGTGGTAGCAAAAAACTCAAAACTGACAATCAGGAAGAAATTATTCTCTTAACTACCATATCTCTTCCATGACTCACAAATGCTGTCACAGGCAGGATGGAGATAATAGATCATTCTAACTACCTTCTATCCCTACCAACACCTTTGGAGGAAGAATTAGAACAAATATTCCAAACTGATACAGTCTAGTTTTCTTAGTATGTTTTTCATTTTTTGCTTATTAGATGTATAGAACTGTTAGTTTAGTGCTTTAAGTGGGGGACACATGGAGAATGTTTCTCTTTTTCTCATCTAATTTAATAAACATTTATGGTCTACTGGGAATAAAGCTCAGACCCACCTTTAAAGAATTCCTAATCTAATCAGGTAAGAGACATAAAAAATTAATTACAATAAAATGTGATACATAAAATAACAAAATAATAGACACTAACTGCCTAAAGGAATCATGAAAGCGTTACTAAGATAGAGTCTCAAATGACATTGGGCAATCAACAACTGGAGAAAAGGTCGTTCCAGGCAATGGATTCTTCTCAAAGGAATGCAAGCGCATGGAGGCAATAGGAAGTATGGCATTTTCAGGAACCAAGGAGAACTGTGGTGTGACTAGAGCTAGACGCTTGTGGGGAGGTGAGGCTACAAAAAGATGTACGGCCTAGACTGTGAAAAGCCATGGAAGCCACGTAAAAAAGTAAAAAACAAACAAACAAAAAAAAAACTTTAAAAGTCATTGGGCATTGACAGCAGGTGAGTTTGTGAGAAGATTTGCATTTCTAATTAAAGATGTGACAATGTGACAGATGAACTAGATGGCGAGAGAGTAAAGGCAAGGAGACTAGTTAGGAAACTACTGCAGGAATTCAGGTAAGAGATGGAATGGCTCTAAACTAGACTAGGGTGTTTATGGAGAAGAATAGACAGGTGAGAGGTAATTCAGTGGCTGGGTGGGTGACTGAGATTAAGTGGGATGAGGACAAGGGAAAGGAAGTTTCTAGTTTGGGGCAATTGGGGGTGTATTTATATTGACATGTTGAGTTTGAGGTACCTATGGAATTTCCAAGGGGAATGTGCAATGGATAGTTAGAAACATAAGCCTGAATGTCAGGGTTGGGGTGGAGCTAAGGGATGACTATGGGAACCATCAGCAACTACTGATGATGACAGCTGAAGCAACTGTGGAAAGTGAGATTCTACAGAGGGAGCTATAATATGGCTGAAAAGAGGGCTCCAAACAGAATTCCAGGGAACACAAACATTTAAGGGATGATATATGGATGAAGACAAGGTAATGTAGAAGCAGCACGAGCAATCAGAGTTCAGAAAACTAGAAAATCCAATATCCTGAATGCCAAAGGAGAGAAGATTTCAAGAAAGGAGAAGTCAATGGCATCAAAAGGTTTTCTTTTGGTGACAGTGTATTTCTTTTAGTGAAATAATTCTGACCCCAATCCTAACATATACACTTTGTGCAGTTAAATATTTCTGAGTAATCCCTTTTTTCTTTCTTCAACTCTGCTCCTTAAAACCCTCAAAAGGAAGCTGAGCATAATTATCTGGGAAATTCCAGTTCCTTAACATGTTAAAAGGGAACCACAGCTGGAGGACCCTTAAGAGCCAGACACCAAGATCTAAAAGATGCCAAGGAAAGACAGTTGCTGAGAGTAGGAAAAGTATGGGCCTGAGTTCCATTGGTTACCTGTAAAACCAACTTGGCAGGTGCACTCATAGGTATCCCAGCTGAGCATGTGGCAGGTGCCTCCGTTCAGGCAGGGGCGAGACATGAAGCACGGGTGGGAGGTGGAGTACTGGCAGTCCTCGCCTGTGAACCCTGGGGCACATCGGCATGTGGCTTTCCCCAACATGGCCTGGGCCACACAGGTCCCACCATTCTGGCAGCGATTCTTCTCACAGGGGTCTCGATGTTGACAATACTCTCCCAAGAAGCCCTCTGGACATCTGTATAGAAAAGAGTGGAGTCCATGAAAACATCTGACTTCTTTTATGTCTAAAAACTTACAGTAAGACAATGCAGCCCATTCATGGGAACACTAGACTGTGAATCAAGAGATCTGAAGGCACAACCTATACAGCTGCCTAACTTTAAGAGAGGACGATGTGCTTAGAGAACTTAACCACATACTCCCATGTCTTTTTGCACTTTGGCAGGTGACAGAATACCAGGTGAGTGATGCAGCATGGTCTGGCATGGCTGATCATCACGATCCTGATTCAAGGCAAAATACAACCTTTCCATGTAGGTACAGGCTGGTACGGTGCAACAGCAACTTTTTGTAGAGCATTGTTTGTATTTGTCTGCTTAAATTCATTAACTTTCTCATTTTGACTAAGCCACTCAATAGAATTAAGACATTCACATGATAATACGTGGACTTGCCCTGATATTCCCTCAAACTTGAAGTATATAAGATACGACTGAGTTTTCCCTCAAATATTGGGAAATAGTAAGTTCTTCTTTCTCTTGTTTGCAATGAAACATCAATTGGCCTATATCTAGCTTACTGGGTTATGTTCAAGTGGTTGAGACTGAGCTAGAGAAAGGGGAAGGAGGTACAAGAATAGGGAAGAGTTCAAAGGGGCATTTTGAAATCTGTCAACATATAAGTAGCAGGCAGCTTTTCTAACCAAACAAAAAGGCACAAAACATAATTAAAATAACATAAAATATCTAAAAACAAAAAAGGCAGCTGCCATCAAGTCGATTCCAATGCATGCCAACCCCACGTGTGTCAGAGTAAAACTGTGCTTCATAGGGTCTTCCATGGCTGATTTTTTGGAAGGAGATTGCCAGGCCTTTCTTCTGAGGCACCTCTGTGAGGACTTGAACCTCCAACCTTCTGGTTAGCAGCCGAGTGTGTTAACCATTTGCACCACCACTCAGGGACTCCTAAAATATCTAAGATGCCACATAAACACCCAAGTGAAGGAGGAAAAACAATTCAAGAATAACATTCAATAATGTTTTCCACATTCTACACAGGGCTTCAAGGAATCTTTTTATATGCCATACCCTGAGTCATAAGATACAAAACAAAATACTTATGACAATTTTCTCCAAACAGTGTCAAAAAAGCATGGGAAATCGCCATTTTCGTAATGAAAATGTTATTCAAATGGAATCTCTAAGACACACTATAAATTTTGCCATTTGGCTGTCTGTCCCAGATATTTGGTTCAATCTATTTCTCCATTCAAACTTTTTTAGAGAGTAGAAAACTAAATCTACAAGGCTGTTCCATCATTACCTCAAAGACAACACACTTAAACCAAACTCTCTATCCTCTCCCTCAAAACCAGCTCGTGTCATGTCTTCCTGTGCCCAGTCACTAGTATCCTGATTCTCCTAATCACCCAGACTTGGAGTACTGGGGTCATGTTTGACTACTGCCTGTCTTTGCCAATCATAGCTAAGACCTTTCATTAACTGTTAACTGGCAAAGTGAGGTCTTCAGGGGTCACTGTTATTGAGAAAAGAAGGAGGGCCAGATATTAGCGAACAAAGACAGAACATGCCCAAAGGAATTATACAGTGGGTAAAATGGCTGGAGGATGGAACATAGCTGGTAAATAGCTACAGTGGTAGTGATGTAACTGGCCACAGTTTCCTCACCCCCCTCCCAGAGCTGTACAAGGTAAGTGTGGCAGGACCAGAGGCAACTAGGGCTCTGAGCACCTTAGTGAGGAGAGGTTAGAGATCAAGAGGCAGCAAGGAGAGTGCACAGCACTGAAAACCAGGACTGGCTGAAGTTGACAGTGAAGAGTCTGGACTTCAGGAGGTCAGAGGCCTTGTTCCGAGTCCTGGGGCTGTGATCTCGGACAAGCTACTTGGACTGCCAATTCTCTCACATTCTAGATAGTTAATAAGGCTACCTACATCACGGGGTTGTCGTAGGAATTAAACAAAATCAATTATGTGAAAAACCTTAAAAATATTGAAAAGTATTACAAATGAAGAATTTTCTCTCTTCTCTTTGTTCTTACTGAGGAAAATACGATGCTTTTTTCAAGAACAATCACAGCTTGATTTGATAATAGTTGTTTTTCTTTAAAATAGCAAAAACTTCCAAGGAAGATGGAAGCACAGCCAAAATTAACCATAAGCTATATTATTAAAAGCATTTGCAGCTTATTCAAGAAATCTGTTATGGATGATATTAAAAACTGCAACACAATTCTCATTCACAGTGACAGTACTCTGGGCATTAGGCCTGGCAGATGACTCTTGATTATCCCATATGGGAATTATCCACCTTGCAAATAATGGCAAACTCTTAATCCTGGGTGGGCTTTGCCTGGCTTGGCTCCTGGACCATGATTCCACCCCTCAACACACACTATTATCATGTGGCATCTGCTAAGAGAATACAAACTCATTTTAATATGAGCATCATAAACACAGAATGGAAATATAAAGTTCCCAGGATTTGGGAGCCAAACGTAAGTATTCCTGAAATATCTGCTACTGGAGTTTATCTACATTGTTGTTCCCTACCAAGTATGGAAAAGTAAGTTTCAACAACATATGTTTAAGGAACCAATAAAAACAGGGATTGGCAAACTACAGCCTGTGGGCCTAATCTGGCCCACTGCCTCTTTTTGTATGGCCCATGAGCTAAGAATAGTTTTTACATTTTTAAACGGTTGGGGGGAAAAAATAAAAGGATGGACACTATTTTATGACATTTGAAAATTATGTAAAATTCAAATTTCAGTGTCCATAAATAAAGTCTTACTGGAACACAGCCATGCCTAGGCATTTATGTATTGTCTACGGATGCTTTCGCACTATAACAAGAGGTGAATATGGCAATGAAACTATATAACCCACAAAAATATTCACTAGCCCTTTACAGAAAAAAAATTTGCCAAAGAGAATATATGAAATTTAATTCTATAAATATAAGTCAATTTATTTATTAATAATGATGTTAATGATGAAGAATGTTATCATACAAGCTTCCACGAAGAATATGAAGCTCATAATATTCATTTATTCAACAAACATTTATTAAGTGCCTATTACGTACCAGTACATTTTGGTACTAGGAAAATCCCTACCTTCATGGAGTTTGAATTTTAGTAGGGGAAGACAAAAAACAAAATTAATAAATAAAAAATATAGTATGTTGAACAGAGTTAAGTGCTATGAAGAAAAATAAGACAGGAAACAGGGACAGGAAAGGGTGGGGCTAGGGACAGTGGGGAGTATTAAAGAAAAGTATTTCAATTTTAAATTGGAAAATCAGGGAAGGTCTCGCTGAGAAGGTGACATCTGAGCTAAGACCTGAATGAGGACTAGTCATGCAGGTATCTGGGGAAAGAGTGTTCAAGGTAGAAGGAACAGCAAAGGCAAAACCCCTAAAACAGGGGGCAGTCCTGGCATGTCTAAGGAATAGCAAGGAGACCTCTGTGGCTATACCAAAGGCGCTAAGAAAAAGAGAAGCAAGAAATAGATGAAAGTTGTAACCGGGAGCCAGATCATGTGGGGTCATGAGGCCACTGTAAGCATTTAGGATTTTACTCAAGTGAGATACTACTTTGATATGATGTACAACTGATTTCCTCTCCTAAAACCCATGTACAGAACTGCATCTTATCTTTAACGAAACTAGACCCATTATTGGTATAATAAAGAGTTGATTTCTTATTTAAAATGTTCTAGACAGCTAAAGACATCAGCCTATAGACTTGGGAGACATCCATGTCAATTGGCACAACATAGTTCATAAAGACAATGTTCTGCATCCTACTCTGGTGAGCAGTGTCTGGGGTCTTAAAAGCTTCCAAGTGGCCATCTAAGATACAATGATTGGTTTCTTCCCATCCAGAGGAAAGGAGAGTGAAGAAAACCAAAGACTCAAGGAAATAATCAGTCCGAAGGACCAATGGACCACATTAACCACAACCTGTATGACCCAAAGACCAGAAGAACTAGAAGATGCCCGGCTATCACTACCTATTGCTCTGGCTGGGATCGCAACAGAGGGTCCTGGACAGAGTGGGAGAAAAATGTAGAACAAAAAAATCAAATTTACAAAAAAGACCAGACTTACTAGTCTGACACAGACTGGAGGGATCGCCAAGACTATGGCCCTAAGACACCCTTCTGACCTGGAACTGAAGCCATTCCTAGAGACCACCTTCCAGCCAAATAATAGACAGGCCCATAAAATAAACCGTAACACCCAAGAAACAATGTGTTCCTTAGAGTAATCAATTATACAAGATCGAAAGGACAACATTTGCCCAAAAGCAAAGATGAGAAGGCAGGAAGGGGTAGAAAATCCAGAGGAAAGTAAACAGGGAACCCAGGGCAGAAATGGAGAGAGTGCTGACACATTGTGGGGAATGAAACCAATGTCATGGAACACTTTATGTACAAACTATTGAATGGGAAACTAATTTGTTCTGTAAACTTTCACCTAAAGCACACACACACAAAAAAGACATCAGTCTATTTCTTTACTTTTACCTTAAAGCATGAACAAGTCTCCCTTTAAGTCTCATTTCCCTTTCCTAATTCTTTTTTCACGACCAAGTATCTAAAATTATAGCCTAATTTCACAGGTATTTTCTCTTTCTTTTCCATCTATTTCTTACTTGTCCCTTTGCAACGAAACTTTCATTGTAATTACTGCCCAGATACTACATTCTAAGAGCAATAGCTTCCTCTTTGCCAAGTTCAGTGGTCTCATCAGAGATTTCATCATAAGGAAATTCTTTCTTCTGAAGGAGCTATTTCAGACCATTTCATCCATCATTTTAATCTTTTCCCCTTGCCTTTTATTTTATGGCTCTTTCTGCCACAAAGTTTGGTAAATTCTTAGTCTAGATTGCTGATTCTTCTCTGTCTTCCTCCTCTTCAACTGGCAACCCTAAAGTTTAACCCCGGCTGCACTGCTCTTTCCTCTCATCTCTATTTTTGTTTTTGTTCATGT